CCATAATCATAAAGAATGAATTCAGTCAGGCAGATTTTTTGTTTTAAAAAAAAAAAAAAGGTGTCCTTGTATTATTTTCTTTTTCCGAAAAAGAAACCCATAAAGCTGCTGATATAAGAACAGATGACAGAGGGATAATATATATATACATATGAATCTATAGATATATATGTTTGGGGTGAGAAAAAGGGGAAATTAGAAATAATCAGTAATGGTTATCCGATTATGTGTTTTTTGCAATAAAATAGAGGAGAGGGGATGGATTTTGCGCAGGAACTAGAAACCCTAATTCCACCATTGATGTGCGAGCAAGAACAGCTCATTAAAATTGGCAGATGCGATCATCTAATCATGTATATAAAAAAAATATAATTAAGATTATAATATGCATAGAATTAGAGATGAAAAAAACGCAGAAAAGGGAGGAAAGTGAGTAGAGAAGCAATGAATGAATTAACGAAGTAAATAAATCCGAGGGAGGTAGAAAGAAGAGACGTCGTCGGGTCACTTTCCTCATGAGAATCAGAGAAGAGATAGCGACTCCAACCACCTCCACACACACACACACACACACACCCACATGGCTATGTGTGTACCGCTGTTTCTTTCTTTCCCCATTACATCGATGCCCCCAATTCCTAATTCCCCCTGCGCCTGCAGAAACCCCAAAATTAAAAGTGAAAATCTATCTGAACTAGGGGCAAAATTACAGTTAAATGCAGCAGAATTCTTAACGCGTTCCACCAATTATTTAGAGAGAGAGAGAAGAGGTTTGACCAGTCATTGATGGCGTCCCAGGAGAGGAGCGGACAAGGACTGGGACAGGCGAAGATCTGTTGATTTTGAGAGTGGGAACTACCAAAAAAAAGAGGAAGCGGGGTTTGAGAGTCGGTGGGCGCCATTGATGTGATTTCTTGACGGTTGTGGATTAGTGGGAATGAAGCAGGCAGCAGAGCAGAGTCGGGCTGAGGACGGCGGAGTAGTGGAGTGGCGCTGCCGCGTCGGCCGTCGGGCGTGTCGTTACGTGTTGGCAGGCAGGCAGGCAGGGTACTGTTCTGTGTTGCAGTATGTAATGTAGGATTACGATTATGCCCCCAACTTGATCGCTTTGCTTATTGCTCTCAATCTCTATGTAAATTTACCGTTTTGGCCTTCACTACCAACTATCCACTCCCCCCACCGACATTGTCGCTATTTTTTTATTTATTATTATTTTTTTCTTATGGTTATTCAAGTCAAAAGAACTAATTTTGCGACTTTTTTGTGTCTTCATTTTATTTTATTATATGAATATATTTTTTATATTTAGAGCAGATTAAAAAGTATATATATTTTTATTATATATATTTTTATTTTAAAATATCTAATTGCAAAGAAAATGTTTTATTAAATATCTTATTTTTTTATAAATATTTTTATTTTAAATCATATTATTATTTTTATATTAAAAAAATAAAAATAAAAATATCATTACAGTATTTTTAACTATCTATTATAATTAAATTACTATTATTTATTAATATCATAAAAAAAAAAAATGAATCTTTACTTTGTATGTAAATATATAATTGTGTTTGTAATACTATAAAATTAATGTTTTGTATTGACTTTTTTATTTTTTTAATAAATAAAATATAATATAATATATATTTTTTTGTTCATTCAAAAGAAATTTTTTGGGATTTTGTAGGAAATTAAAATAATAGTAATATTTTATTAGTCTAAGTGATTTAAGAGGTTTTGACATTTTTGTCTTTTAAATTTTTTAATATAAAATAATTGTATATATAATGGTAAATTTGTAATTTAAATAAAAATTAAAAGATATTTAATATTAGTATATAATTATTTTTTCTAAAATAAAAAATAAATATTTATGGGACGGAAAAAAATAATAAAAATAATGCTTTGAAATTAAATGAATGGAGTATATATATTTTCTTTTTACAAATTAATATCCTAATTTCATATTTGGAATATCCAATAATTATTATCTTATTTCATTTCTTATACAAAAGATTTATTTTTATCGTTCATTTATATCATTTTTATTTGAGTATGTTATCTCTATTCTCTAACTTACCAAAATAATAAAATTGTCAATTTATAACAAAAAATATATATATATATTTATCTAAAATATTATGCAAATATAATTTTATTTTAATTTTTTGCTAAAATTCAATATGTAAAATTTTTATAAAAACATAATAATAATTTTTTATATAAAATATTACTTTCAATAATTATACAACTTAAAGTGTTTTCTTTTTCAAACTTAAATCATCGCTTTTTTTTTTTAATATATTTTTGATAAAGAATATAATATTATTTTATAAAAAATATTAATTAATTTTAAATTCAAATTAATATCAAACAAAATACAATATAAAATCAAATAATTTTACTTCATTAATTGAAACCAGTGTTATTTAAACCCTATACAAGTGAATTGACAAGGAATGTAATAATAATAATAATAAATCAAACACTGTATTTATTTTTTGAAATTTTTTTCACTTTTACTTTATTTTCAACTACATTTATTAAATAAATAGTTAAAAACAGAGATGAATATCTTTGCCCATCTTTTATTATTTTGATTCTTTAATTGAAAAAATATATTAAAATAATCTTATACTTGTGTTTCTTTATGGTTTAATTGAATCTTTTTATCATTCATACGATATTTAAGATAATAATATTTAACTAGTTAATAATAATGAATTATAATATTATTTTTTATTTAATTAATAATATTGAAATTTTAAATATAAATAACAATATTTATTTTTTGAAGAGAAATAAAAATAAACAAATTTTAAATAAATTTTACATTACATATAATGTTAGATATTATATAGTTAATTAAAATAATTTATATTTATTAATTGTGTTTTGATTTAAGTAAGTTTTACCCTAAATAAAAAAAATCATATTAGTATAAAACAAATAAAAATAAAAGTATGTCAGTTAAGATGGTCAGAATGAATATTTAATATGCATTGATATGGTATCATATGAATAATTTCTAATACTAAAATATTAATGCAAGTTTAGATTTTTTATATAAATATACAAAAAAATTGGTGTTACATACAATCATACCCCTACTAATCTAAATCATTTATTTATTATAAAAATAAATAAACAGTATAGATAACAACCATAATTGTCATGTGGTTATATAGGTTAACTGTTACATCAGCTTACATAGCAATATTTCAATAACAAAAATTCCAATTAGCCCCAACAAATTACATATAGAATTATTTTAATACAACAGAACTAAAATTATATCAGTATTACATATTTTTTTTTTATTTAAAATTTTTGCTATTATTTTAAAATAACTTCTAACAAAAATATTTTAAAACACAGCTAGACAACCAACCAAACGTGTCCTAAAAAATACTCCCTCCGTCTCCTTTCAAGGGTTATTGTACATGACATTGAAAATATCATTATTTCTGTATAATTTTTTCGTACAAATGTCATTCTATTAGTATTATAAGACATTAGAAGTATTTTTTTTAATTTTTTCATAATTTGTACTATATTTTGATATAATAATTAATATTCAAAAATTAACAAAAAAAAATATAAATGAGACCTTAGAGCCGGACAGAGGTAGTATACAATTAACAATGCAACACATGTGTTTAATTTGTGTTTCAAATTCAAATTATATATTTTTATTTTTAATAAAAAAAATATCTATTTATTTATAAAATATTATTTAAATTAAAATATTAATCTTAAACTACAATCAACCAAACTCAATTTTCATAATATTAACAAGAGCTTGAAATAAGGGTTCAAACTCCATCACCTCTAGTCCATCTGCCGCCTAGTATAATTTGTTTTGTCGGGCCTAATTTATAGAATATTATGTTCGACCGAAAATTTACCCAATGCATACTTTTAAATAGACACAACAAATTCCCACGTTATAAAAAAATAAATATAAGAGCTCGAAGCACAACAAAGTTATTGTCTACATTAGTAAGCCCAACAAAATTATGGTCTCCATTAGTAAACCAAATTTTACTATTTTAACTTTTTAAATTAATAGTATTAAATAAAATAATTAAATTTAGACGATGTAATGGAAAAATATATATATATTATTATTATTTTTTATTTGAATAATATGATAAAATAGAATATAAAATATAAATTAAGTATAATTAATCATTTCATATTTTAAGCATATTGCATGATATTTTAAACATACCAAAAAAAAATATCAACAATGAAAAAATATCAAATAAAATACCTAATTTTTATTTATTATATTAAACTAAAATTTAATTTTACATTTTAATCGTCACGTCAATATATTTATATCATCTTATACAATTATTTCAATTCTATTCAAAACTAAAACCCAACAAATAAATACAATCAAAATTAATAATATTTGAATAGCAATCTTATCGAAATATTATTTAAACAAATCAAACAAATAAAACACAACAAAATTATGATTCATGTTATTGAAATTTAAATTTAAATAATATATTAATATTTTTTAAAAAAATAATATAAAGTGTTTTTATTAAGAACTGACACAATGGTAAATTTTTTGAACAAAACCACAATAAAACAAACTCATATACACAAACAATTATTATAAATTTTTAAGCACAGTAAAAGTAATTTAATCATATCAGAGACAAAAACATTGATTATTATCATTTTTTTTATAGACGGAATAACTCACAAAATGCTACATATTTAGTGCGCTCAGGCAAAATAAAATTTTATTAGACGAACTTTGTGGGGTAAATAAAATTTAAAAAGACATCCTAAATTTGAAGACATGAACACTCACGGGACGGTTACTTACCCCCAAAATAAAAAAGAGGAATTTTTTTTTTTTCGAGATGTCGTAAAAACCGTAGTCGCTACACGATCGCAAATCTAACCCCTACATCCAAGTCATCTCTTACGAGAAATTTAAAAAATAAAAAATTAAAAAAGGGAAATTTTGATAGTATAGAAAGAGGGAGAATATTATATATTGAGATATATATATATATATTCAAATACATACAGATTGTAGCTTATCTTCAATCTTCAATTCATGTAGACAAAAGAGATACTATATGGCCATTCCTTACTCTCTTCAATTCATGTAAAAATTTTCACAATAATCGACACGCCATATTCATTCAAGTACCTTGTGTATGTATGACCATGAATCCTCGCCGTCGGATGATTGTCCGAGTTAGTTTCGGGAGATGATCGATGATGATCCTACCGCAGCCGAGCATCAGCTTGACGACTAAAACAGCTGGAAGAGAAGACTCGTAGATCCGTCTGCATACGATTGAAGATCCGGAGGCCTCACCAAAGCCCGGCATAACGGGCAAGTTCTCTCTCTCTCGAACCTGAATAAAATTGTCGAGCATCAGATCATTGAGTTCGAATTAGAGATAAAAGAAGCTATTCGAAAATTTATAGCTAACAAAACGTCGCAAGGGGCAAAACTTAACATGAAACTTCATTTAAGAGCTGAATTCAGCAAAAATTAGCATCACAAATCGACTAGGATAGCGAAATGTGTCAATTAAGATGAAAACGAACCATTCAGACACACAATCTTCGCAGAAAATATGCTTGCAGCGCAATATAATCGGCGAGTGCATCTTCTCCTGGCAAATAGCGCAAAGATCTCCGGCAGCATTTACCTAAAGAGTTGAATCAATTGATCGCTCGATCATTCTAATGGTTGAAGAATTAAAATGCTAGGTATGGTGAGAAATATGGGACCTGCTCTGATGTTGCATAAGACCCGTAATTCACATCCTTTCTGGATAGAGCCTTCAAGGCAGCGAAAAGTGATCGGACCTGAAGAACCCAAGATATTCGTCAGTTTTTGTCATACTTGATTTTACAGATTGAATGGAGGTAAAAAGGTAAGCTGTTAGTAGGCGTACCTTCTCGACAATTGATGTTAATTTGAATGTTAAATACAATCCTGTCGTCAGTGATGAAAAAAGACTTCCGTATTCTTTGTTCAAGAAGAATCGATACCATACTGGCGTTGGTAGAAGCGCGCGGTACAGAAGCAGGGCATACTCAACCAGAGTCAACATCTGACCCTGAACAATAAAAAAATTACCAATGTTCGATTACAAGTCATTAAAGTTTAACATGGGTAGATCATGTAAAAAAGATCAAGAATTATGTTACCTGTCGACGAAAATTGTGCCCTCTGCCATTCTTATAATACATTAACAAAACCAACTTCAGGATCATTGCTGCTTGCCGCGCCAATGTATCTGCATAATCAAAATTACAATGCTGAATCTAAAATCTAAAAATCCTAATTCACTGTCGCAGTGATCTGCTGCTACAGTTTGCGAAGCATTATTATGCCAATACAATCCATCCATTGGTTACAGATGTCCAAACTATAAATAATTCGATTGCAAAATCTATTTTCTTTTCTAAAAATAGGACCAACGAACAAAAGTGATAAAATGGTCGAATCCATACCATTTACCAAGACGATAAATATTGCATGCCAAAACGGTGGAATTGCCTTCGGAGGAACCATGAGAAGTGGAAATACAAGATCATCGCTATGATGCCACCAATAGATGCCGAATATATGCAGCACGAATAAAAGAGAATATCCAACTAATACAGAAGTCTTCCTTTCTCCCTGCAAACAGCCATTTTCTTAGACCTTATTAGTTTTGCTTTTTTGCCCTTTTCATGAAAACTGAAGACAATGGAACAGAACGGCACCTTGAGAGCAGTTTGCTTCCGAAGAATGTCGTTGGATTTGAACAAGATCGCGGTGGAATAAATGATAACAACAAATCCTGAACACCAATTTGAAGATGGCAATACAGAATTGTTATAACTCATAAGACAACACAAAGAAACATTTCAAATTTATAGAAATGTCGTTCAAGTTTGCTTAGTGTTTCGATTAAAGGAGATCAACATGACAAATTTAGCCAAATGCCTGAAGTTTATCTTCAACGAAAAAACCTCAGACAGTTTCACCATTATCCATTGATTAAAGAATGACAAATAAAAGCAATCAAAGAAAACCTCCCGATTGTATAGAAATGTCGATCGAGTTAGCTTAATGTTTAGATAAAAGGAGATCAACACGACAAATTCAACCAAATGCCTGAAGTTCATCTTCAACGAAAAAAAACTCAACAGACATCACGATCATGCTTTGAACAAAGAATCACAAATTAAAAGCAATCAAAATCCAACAAAAATACCACACAGATACCTTGCAAGTGCTGACGAATAAATACAACAAGCAACAGCAGCGAAAATGGAAGAATCTGCTCAATCCACCGCGCAGCCTGCTGTATATCGTATCTCTGATGCGATGACGTTTCCCTTCCGTCGCTGCTAGTGCTGCCATTAACATCATCAGGCGCATCGCCATTCACGCCACTCCCAACATTATTCCCAACCCTAACCCTATCCTCCTCCCCCATAATCCGAATCGAAACCTCGCCATTATTTCTACCACTAGCCGAATTAGTATTTCCAATTTCATCAACACCATCACCACGCCCTGAATCGCTAGGGTTTTGACCACTAACACTGGAATTAGAACTCGAACCATCGGGATTGAGCGGCCGGGCTTCCGAGTACGAATAACCGCCCTGCCCCACACGGAACAGACCAGAATACTCAAGTAACGACGAAATTGGAGACTGCAAGAACCGTATGGCACGCAACTGCAGGATTCTGGCTGCTCCCACCCCATTGCTTGGCGACGAAGGCGCAGAAGAATCCAAACTCGAAGTGTCAGAACTCGACGTCTCCATAAAGAACCAAAACCCCAGATTCGAACAAAAAACCTCCCAAACCCCTCAAATCAAACCCCCGGTAGCAGATTCCTTGACGAACACGAAGTCAGCACACTCAGAATGAAGTAGTATCAACAACAGTCGGACCTATAACACGCAGAAATCGCACCAATCGACGACTGGCTAAGGATTCTGCAAAAGGGAGGATTGAAGCAGTGGAAGAATCATCTGGGGGAGAAGACGAGAGAGGGAGGCAATAATGGGTAATCAGAGGAAGGAAGATTCAGAACACAATCAATCCCATTCATTATTCAACGGTAATAAAGGAACTGCTGCTCCTTTTTTCCGTTCACCAATAATAATAGTAATACATTTTTGCCCAACTACAGAACAATATAAAACGTGTGACTAACGCCTCGTTTCTTTTCATTAATGACCTAAAGTCGCATTTCTGCTTTTCTGTAAATACTTCATATAGGTTTTAGCGACTTTGCTTTTCACAAAAATATATTTCTCTTCTTTGTATTATTGCACTATCTGTGTATTGTGTATTGTCTTTCTCTTCTTTTTTTTTTTTAATCAATTTTTAATATTTAATGTTTTTCATGTCGTTCAAATTTATATTGGATGTTAAAAAAATTATTTTTATTTTTAGTACAAGATTATATTGTTTTTTTTTTTTTACTTTTTAATTATAAAATGTAAAAATAACTTTTTATACATTGTCAAAATATGTATCCATATATTTGAGAAGAAAATTGATTTATTATTATAAAAGAATATATATATATATATATATCAATTATTATTCATTCTCAAAATATGTATCCACATGTTTGGACATATAATTAAAAACTGATAGAGTAGTATATTTTGAAACTATCATTTTAATATTTTTTTTATATCATTAATTTAATTATTATTTTGGAGTAAATTAAAAATAATAATATTTTTTTGTTAGTTAAATTGTTTAAGAAGATTTTAATTTTTTTTGTACTCTATGTATATTTATAATTGTATATTCGTAATTTATGTAAAAATTAAAATATTTTAGTAGGAGTATTAATTATGATTATTTTTGCTATAATAAAATATTTGATACTTTTAATAGAACAAACAAAAGTCATAAAAAAAATACCTTTAATCGAGACAAAGTGAATACTTTTTATAAAAAACTATATAAAACCTAAATAGTTATTGTCACATTTAAAATAATCTAAACCAAAACTTAGTACTTTCTCTATTTTAAAATAATAGAAACATTTAAAATGAGTACGAGAATTAAGAATTATTAATATTATATTATATTAGTGTAAAAATATTTTTTAAAAATGAAAGTATTATATTGATATTGGAAAATTGTTTGAAAAATTTTGTGTAAAATAACGTACACCTAATTTTTAATAATGAGGGAAATTCTTCTAGAATTTATGAAGCCAAAATCAAATATATAGGTATGTTTCTTTTACCTCAAACTCCCGATTTTTATTATTTAGGCTTTGCTTTTTTTCTAAAAAAAATTATTTTTCTTCTCACAGAACATCATATTATACATTATTTTAATACAAAATTAAAATCAATTTTTTTTTCAAACTCATCTAAAGAAACATACCCATATAAACATGACTATTTAGGATGTGTTTGTTTGGGGGTTTGGATTTTGAGTTGAGATTTGAATAGTAAAATTTTGAATTTGAATAGTTATATGATGTGATATAAATAGGTGTTGATGTGATGTTTTAAATGTAAAATTAATTTTTGATATAATATAAAAAATAAAAAATAGATGTTTGATTTGATATTTTTGAAAAAATAAAATAAAATAAATAATAAATTTAAAATCCAATTTCCCAAAACAAACACCCCCTTAAGAAGAAACATACATAATACATAAATTTTTTAAATAAGATCGAATTATACCAAAATAATAATCACCCGATTCGAGGTGGAGCCCACAAAAGCGTGTTTTCCAATTATCCATAATAATTTATTTTGTTTTATTATTTTTTTAAAAATTATTATTTTCTCCAACCAACTGGCAAAAAATAAACAAACAAACAAACAACTTACAATACCAAATAGACATGAGAGCACCATCCTGCGAATCCTGACCGTTGATGTGCAAAACTAACGGTGGTAGATCCGTTAGGGAGTTGGGCTCCACGGAGTGCCTATGAGAGGAGAGGACTACAAGTTTATAAATGGATTAGGTCGCTAACTCCATAAAAATTAATAATAAAAAAAAAATTTTAAGAAATGGTCGATTATATATATGTTTAAAATATGTTTGAATAGGGAATCTTGACCAGATATTGCTTGATTTTATTTCTAGAAAAAAATAATAATAATTGAGGTTGGCTAAATCCGTTGACTTTTTTTGGGTAAATCAAAAGAGCGTATAATTATTATTATTTTTACTAGATAATTTTGGTAATTCTTAATAGAAATATATTCGATTTCTTTATAGTACATTAAATTTAAATATTATTTTACATAAAACAATAATAATAAAAATTAAACTTAGGGATTACAAAAACAAGACAACCCAAAGTCAAGTGGGCGTATTGTAATAATTTAACCATATAATATTAATGACAGCATTGACCTGACCCAGTTGAAATTTGAAACATTCTTGGGGTGGGATATGATAATTTCTATTTGTTTTCATTTCATGCTTGCTCATATATCATTGGGTTGGTTTTACAAAAAAATAAAAAATAAAAAATATATGAATAATCCTTCCGTTCCAAAAGAATAAATAAATTTATTTTGGATATAAAAGTTAAGTAATATTGATGTTATATTTGTAGCTCATATAAATTATGAATATTTATTTATTTTGTATGAATATACTTGTTTAAAAATAATGACATTGGTATAGTCACGTATTTTTTTTTGTTTATTTGAATTATATTTGTGTAAAAAATAATGACATTTGTATAATTTCGTAAAGAATGACGAGGTAGTGTGAAGGTGGACTTGTGACCGCGAGAACATATGGTAGTATGGGGTAGACTTGTAACCATGATATTATGGATTCAAATACTGCCGTCTTTAAATCTTACTTGCCACATACATAGATTTTAGATACTATTAGTAATTTATATACTCCTTACGTCCCGTTGGAAGGGTGACGTTTGCTTTTTGCATGTAGATTTTTGAATATTAGTATTATATTGGATTGTAGTGAAAAAGACAAAAATACCCCTATTAGTATGGTGTAATATAAAAGTAATGGCATTTGTGTAATATATTGTAAGTTGAAAGGACATTTATTATGTTAAGTAGGTAGTACAATTACTAAATTAGGAAACAATAATCTTGTTTTGGGACAGACGAAAATAGAAAATAATAACTTTTCAATGGGACGGAGGGAGTATGTTTTTTTTTCGGAGAAAGCAATAGTATATTTTTATAAATATATATACTGTAAAATTTATACAGTGTTGAAACGTGACTTAGATTTAGCAGTCTATCCGACTCGAAATTAAAGCGAAATGGCTGTTTTAATTGGCAGGGTTCCTTTTGAGCTTATCCTAATTAATAACTAATAGGCTTAGGATTTAGGATGTTTTGGGGTGCTTATAAATAGACGGCTATAGTTATTAGTCGGATGACATAATTGTAAATCTCTGAATCAGTACAATAAAATCTCTCCGGTTCCTGCCCGTGGACGTAGGTTGACACACCGTCACCCAACCACGTAAAACCTCTGTGTTCTTTATTTGCTTTCTTTTTCTTTTTCTCGTAACATATAGTAGTAAATTTTTTAGAGGGAGAGGAGGGTTAAAAGTAAATAAAAGTAAATAAAGTCATGATGTCATATTTTGTTTAAGACAATATATTGTAATTAGACTCTTGTGTTAAATTCTTATTAATTTTAAAGTGAATTGATATAAAATAGTTAGCATACTCTTGTAATTAAATCCACGGGACTTCTTACCTAAAAACGTCTCTATAGTTGACATGTCAAAATTTAAATTTTTTTTTTTTATTTTTTTGTTTTTAAAATCTATCATATCATTTAAGGTGACTTATAAAATAGATTACATTGAAAAAGAAAAGAAAGAAATGTAAGAGAGAGAAAGAGAAAAGAGAAATAATGTGGAAAAAAAAAATACTTGAGAAGAGTTTCACTGCATGGTCCAATTATAAATGTGATCTTCTTGGTATTTAAATTAGAAGTCTGTAATTAAATCAAAATCTACCCTATTCATTATAAAAATATATACTTCATCTGTCCTAAAATTAATTTTAGTCTTATTTAAGTTGGACACGAAATTTAATGAATATTGATATTATATTGATAGTTGATAAAAAATGAGTAAATTTTTTTTTTTGCTATTGTGAGAGTATTAGTATAAAAAGTAGTGGCATTTGTGTAATAATAATGAAAAAGTAGCGGTAATGTTATGGTGATATGTGTATTTATGGAAATGAAACTATTGTTTTAGTACGAACAAAAATGGTAAACAAGACTATTATATTGGGACAGAATGAGTATTATACTCTAAATAAAATATCACATAAAAGATAAGTTTATATCAAAATTCAAATTTAAATGCAAATTAAACAAAATTATTGGGATGTCAAAAAAGAGGAGTCATAGAAAGGCCATCACAGAACTATTTTGAGTTAAATGGATTTCGTTAGGAAAAAGTTAAAACACCAGTATAATAAATAATACTCATTCGTCATAAATATAATATCATACTTTCTCCGTCCCAAAAATATATTATTATTGTATTTGACATAGAATTTAAATAATATTGATATTATATTGGTAGTTGGTAAAAAATAAGAATAAATGGTCTTTTTGCCCTTATAAATATATTTAGTGTAAAAAATAGTGGCAATTGTGTAATAATAATGAAAAAATAGAGATAATTTTATAGTGATATGACTATTTATGAAAATGAGGCTATTGTTTTGTGACTGACAAAAATAGTAAACAAGACTATTATATTGAGACGGATGAAGTATTTTTTTGTTTCTGTTTGTTCCATGTTTCATTTCATTTTTTATAGAAAATAATTACACGTTTTAATTACATTTTAAATTTTATAATTTATGATTGTTTAAAATTTTAATTAAATTAATTAGTTATCGTAATTTTAATATATAATTATTTGTATTATTTTATAATTAAATTTACTAATATATTTTTAATGTTTACTAATTATATTACACTTGAATTTTTGTGTCTCCATTATATCCAAAATGGAAGAATTAATAATAATAATAATAATAATAATAAAGAAATACGACGGATTTGATTTAAAATAGTATACTATTTTTACGTATATATGATTATACTATCCATTAATAATACTTTTAAAATAGAAATACTACATCAAATGTCAA